CTCACGGCGGCAAAGAGCTGCGACACTTCAAGTTCCTCTCCGTGTCATTCGCGGCTCAGCTGCTCGGCTCGGCGAGCTTCATCGGGAAGGTGGGCGACTGAAGGTCAGGCGGTAAGGAGCGCGCTCAGTGCGACGACAATAAACGTTTGATTTTGTTTCAGGTCGCGGACAACGACGATGACATAGACGCATCTCTACAGCCACTGCAGCAGAGGTGAGTGATGCTGTGATGTCACGTTGTTATGTGAGCGTTTGGTGGCGTTGAAGGTGATGTCATGTTTGTGTTTCAGGCTGCTGGAGGACATCCTGCGCTACATCCACAGCATCGCTCGCTGTGTGGAGGAGAACGCCGACAAACCCACCGCCAAGTTCTGGCGAGTTCTGCTGAATAAAGCCTACGACGCACTGGACAAGGTTTGAATCCAGTTTTATTTAAACTCTTCTCGTTAACATTAACAGCAGGTCCTCCACCGTTAACCTCAGTTTCTTCTTCTGCTGCTGGAGTGAAAGCCGCCCTGCAGAGGCGCTCTAACCTGCTCACCTTTGTTCAGGTGAACGCACTGCTGCCCACGGACACCTTCATCACGGTGATGAGGGGCCTGATGGGAAACGAGCTGGCATCGGTCAGGAGGAAGGCCATGGACCTGCTCAACAACAAACTGCAGCACAGAACACAGTGGGATGCACAGCAGGTAACAGGAAGTGATGTCAGAGTTCTCCGCAGAGCGTGTTTTGGGTATGAAACAATGACATCAACTTCCTGTCTGCCCTCAGGTTACCGTGCTCCTCCAGCTGATCGGCGACCTGCTGAACATTGTGGGCAAAGATCACAGGAAGGTCGTGGACGGAGCGGAGCAGGCCATCAACCGCCAGACGGCGCTCTTCAGCCTCAAGCTGCTCTGTCGCAGTTTTGGGTCCGACCACCATGAGACGTTCGTGCCCGTGCTGTTGCAAACCGTGGAGCTCGTCGCGGCGGCAGAGGAGGAGAAGAACGTGACGGGCAGCGCTCTGCTCTGCATCGCCGAGGTGGTCAGCACACTGAAGGCCCTCGCCATCCCGCAGTTACCCAGGTCTGTTATGCCCGTCCTTCACCCTCACACGACAAGGCGGGGAAGCCGCCCTCCAGTCAGCTGACGCGTGTTTGTTTCCACAGGTTGATGCCAGCCATACTGCACGCGCTCCAAAACAGGAAGGAGCTTCTGACCAACGAGATCTACCTGCTGAGCACCGTCACTGCCCTGCAGCGGGTCACAGAGACGCTGCCACACTTCATCAGCCCATACCTGCACGACGCCACCTTACAGGTAACGCCGCCCCGCGAGCACTGCATCAGAAAAACAAAACAAAGGTTATAAAGGATTGCGGTGGAGCTGTGCTTTGATTGGATCGTGCTGTGTGCTCTTCCTAGCGCCTCGTTTTTTTTCATCTGAAATGGTACGGCTCGATGTCGCTGCTGCTTTGAGGAGACGTGCTGATTGGTCCCAGCTCACCTGGAGTGTGACGCGAGTGTCACAGGGATTCTATTATTTGTTATTCCTCTTCGTTCTTGCAGGTGTGTCGGCTGACCCGGCTGATGGAGACTTCCTCCTCCTCCTCCGCCCAGCTCTCCATCCGTCTCGCCTCCCTGAGGAGCACCCTTGCCACCAAACTGCCCCCCAGGGTCCTACTGCCCACCATTAGCAGGTGCTACAACACTATGGTGGTCGATAAGAAGGTGAGAGTCGAGCTTCAGGTGTGTTTACTGTTTTCTACTGAAGCTGGTAAAGTTCAAAGTTTGTGTGTGCGCCTTGGCTTAAAGTTTTCCAGAATGATCCAAAGACACTTGCTCTCATTATTGGAGTCAGTCGTTTAAAATGGCTCCACGAGAACAAATCAAACATCCACCGAAATGTGGAATCAGGGACTTAAAATCCCAAATTCTCACGCTGAGCTTTGTTAAATGTCTAAAATCAAACAGCAGCAGTAATATCCTGTAATTTAATGTTTTCGTGCTTCAAGCCAGAAAAAACGTTAAAAGTAGAAATCGGCGCTAAACGGTCATCGGCGTCAAATCCCGCTCTGAGGTTCCCGATGGTTTTCAGCTGTTAACGTCTCGTTGTCATTTCCCCGCAGAGTCAGCTGGGGGCGCTGCTGAGCATCCTGAAGGAGCACATCGCTCACATGGAGAAAGACCAGCTCAGCTTCCACCAATCAGAGCTCACCACCTTCTTCCTCACCGCACTCGACTTCCGCTCCGAGCATTGCCAGGTCCGCTCAGCTGGTGATTGAGTAAATGTACTTAGATTACTTTACCTTTCTCACGCGTCTCTTTTGTCTTCAGGGCGATCTGGAGAAGACGGCGCAGGTCGAGGGCTGCGTGATCGACTGCCTGATCGCCATGGTGATGAAGCTGTCAGAGGTCACATTCAGGCCGCTCTTCTTCAAGGTAACGCCGCCGTGCCTAGGATTCAGCCGCCGCCCCAGTTTCCCGCCGTGTGGCAATAACTGTGTGTCTGTGCGTCTGTCCCGCAGCTCTTCGACTGGAGCAAATCGGAGCGTAAAGATCGTCTGCTGACTTTCTACCGGCTGTCCGACCGCATCGCCGACCGCCTCAAAGGACTCTTCGTGCTGTTCGCAGGAAACCTGGTGAAACCATTCGCAGACCTGCTGACACAAACCAACAGCACAGGTCTGACCTCATCCACAACTTTTCTCTTTTTATTGATTTTCAACTGTAAATTGTTACATTTATCTAAATGTTAATATTTAAACAGCTGTTTGTTGGTAAAGCAGCTGTTTCCCGGCTGTCCAAGCTTGACGGTGCTTTTGCTTCTTGCAGAGTCGCTGCTCTTCGACTCCGAGGACGATGGCGAGGAGAAGAGCTGCCTGCTGCTGCAGTACGTCCTCGACTGCCTCCACAAGACCTTCCTGTACGACTCGCAGCGTTTCCTGAGCCGCGAGCGAGGCGACGCCCTGCTGAGCCCGCTCGTAGACCAGGTGAGGTGCAGACACTTCAGAGGGTGTAATATTTCTCCAAAACTGCATGACTCCACCCACTGGGCGTGGTTTCATTGGTGACATTGAACTTGAATGGTTTCTGTGTTCGTGTCCAGCTGGAGAATAGAGTCGGTGGCGAGCAGCGATACCAGCAGCGCGTCACCCAGCACCTGGTGCCCTGCGTCGGGCAGTTTGCTGTGGCGATGGGCGACGACTCGCAGTGGAAGACCCTCAACTATCAGATCCTCCTGAAGACCAGGCACTCTGACACCAAGGTAAGGCCACCTGCACAGCTGACGGGCTCCCCTGAGCCCCGAGCGACGCCTGGAAGGCGCAGAGAAGTCGGTCAAGCTTCGCTCTGACACTGTCTGGTCTCAGCCAGGCAGAGTTAATTAATGGTAATACAAAGAGTTTTAAATTAGACTCTGTGTTGGTGTTAGTTATTGACTCAGCAGCTTCCTCCTCCTCCTCCACAGGTGCGTTTCTCCTCTCTGCTGATGCTCATGGAGGTGGCGTCCAAACTGAAGGAGAACTACATGGTGCTGCTGCCGGAGACCATCCCCTTCCTGGCTGAGCTCATGGAGGGTGAGGCGCACAAACAGACACCGCTCATATTAACTGTTGGCTCTAAGATGTAATGTAGCTGTCGGCCACAAGAGGGCAGCACATCTCTGACAAGAGAAAACCTCTAGATCCAGATGTTTCAGAATAAAAGCATGACAGATGAAACGTATTTTCACCATCATGGAGAAATATCAGTAAAAGTTCAGATAAAATACGACATCAGAGACGATAAGATGCAAACAGAATGCAGTAAAATATCACATTTGTGTTTCAGTGGAGCTTTGCTCCACCTGTGAGGCCAGGTAACGGCGTAGGCTCAAACCTGCCGTTTGTTTTGCAGACGAGTGTGAAGAGGTGGAGCTGCAGGTCCAGAAGGTGATCCAGGAGATGGAGAACATCCTGGGAGAGCCGCTGCAGAGCTACTTCTAACACGCACGCTGGTGTGAAGCTTCAGCACAAACATAAATATTCTGATGTTTTTGATGTAAGAAGTAATAAACATTTGTGTCAAATCTGCTTTTTATTTACTCTGAACCTGTTTAAAGAAGGTGACATGAGTCAAACTCCTGGGTCAAGTTTAAAGGCCGGCTTGGGGACACTCATCTCACTCAGACGATTCTGGATCATAAAGGTTGGATGCTGGTTTTGGGAAGACCGCACTGGAAAGAAAGAGTTTTCCTGTGAACGCTGTGGCTCTCTGACCATTTAACCCTGTCATGCATGAATTGTGACAAACTCAATCAGGATTCTTAAGTGTTTTTATTCATCTTTTCCTGCCTGTAGTTGAATAAAAACACTTAAGAATCCTGATGTTATTTATTTTTATTCATCTTCAGGCAGGAAAAGATGAATAAAAATACTTAAGAGTTAAATAACAGTAATTACAATGAAACACATCATACAGCTGTAGTAACAATAAACGTCCAGTGGGTGGCAGAGTATGGAGTGACCCATCAGTGTCCAATGCATTGGTTTATGTGCAGGTATACCATCAACACTGACACAAATGCAAGCAAACAGCAGCTGTAACTGTAGGGACCACTATGGTGAAAGGGTCAAATGGATCGGGGCGATTGAGGCTCAAGAGTTAGCAGCTCGTCTTGTAACCGGAAGGTTGCCGGTTCGAGCCCCGGCTCGGACAGTCTTGGTCCTTGTGTCCTTGGGCAAGACACTTCACCTTCCACCTACCTACTGGTGTTGGCCAGAGGGGCCGATGATGCGATATGGCAGTCTCGCCTCTGTCAGTCTGCCCCAGCGCAGCTGTGGCTACAACTGTAGCTGCCTCCACCAGTGTGTGGATGTGAGAGTGAATAGTGGCATTGTAATTTTTCATTTTTAATTAAAACCCAGCCAGGATGCATGCCCCTCCCCTCCCTGCTTCCACTGGAGGTTTCTTCCTGTTCGAAGGGACTTTGTCCTTCCCACTGTCACCCAGTGTTTGCTCATAGGGGTCGTCTGACCGTTGAGGTTTTCGCTGTATTATTAGGTGTCTTTATATTACAGTAAAAAGCACCTTTAGGTGAATTCTGAAGGTGCTAGAATAACAGATAACCAGCTGGTAAAAGAAAACACACACGTATAACAGCGCGGTGTGGTTGAGTTTATAACATCAGGTCAGACTCGCCGTGACTTTAACATCCGCTGTTAACGCAGTTCTACAAAGTTTCTTCCTGGAACTGCAGATGTAGGACGAGTGCCGGAAATAGTTTGTACTTCGGAGAATCCTGACTCACACCAACGACGTTAAGTTCTTAGAGAACAAAGACGCTGTTTGCAGTTCTTCAAAACACAGTGTGTTTTCAGGTGAGTTCACCTGCATCCAGCGCTGAGCCCACGTGTTTACAGATGGTCGGCCTGCTGGAAACGTCTGTACGACACTTCAAATGTCATCAGTTTGACTTTCATGTTTTTTTTACCTTTTTAGCTTCTGACTGCATCTGAAAACTGAATTTTTAAATCATAATTTTAAAAATTATTTTTGAATCCTAATGTTCTCGGTGTGTGTTATCAAAGGTTTACACAATCAGTCGTCACTTTAACTGACTCGTTTAAGTGTTTTACTCAGTTTGGGACAGATTTTCAGATAAACTCCATCATTCATGTTAGATTGGTAAAAAGGATCTGCAGAGTGAGCTGTGAGCTTTCTCTTTGTGAGGCCACAGGAAAGTACAGCTATGAATTAACCATCATAGCCAGCTAGCTGTAAGTTAACTAACTAGCAAGTTTGCTAATGTAACACAGTGGATATGCTAACATTAAAACCAACCACGGAAGGATTTGTACATCTTGAATACTTTCTGGGTATTACAGAGCGTTATTGTAGTTAACTGAACTGAAAGTGGGCTGAACAAATATTCTAGTTAACACAAACACTAAATTTCATGTAAGTGCCTGTTATAAACTTATTTCCACTGACTAGATTGGCATTGTGACCCATACAGCTCACTGACATATTGCTGATGTATATCTGCTGTAGTGCGAGGCACCATGTAGCAGGGACGTATGGTTACTCATCAATAAGATGTCGTTTCGCTGTCACAATTCTGACTACCTGTAACCTTCCTCATAGACGCAGCGAATCCCACTCAGAGGGGGATTCGTTTATGCTACCCAGGTAGAGTCGCACAAAGAGAGAAAGCTTCAGTGAAGCGGAGGCTGGCGACGTTGTCCCAACCTCTTGCAGAGTGAGCAAACTACATTAACAAATCCCTCTCTGAGCAGGTCGCACAGAGTTGGAAAGTCAAAGACAAGCTGCGTAAAAACGACTTCTTACCAATGAACAAACACGGTTCCACTACGTTGGTGCTACCTTCAGCCACACAGCACATATATTTCAGTGATACGTCGCTGCACCATGCTGGATGAAGCACAGTTTACTGACTACATTCCTCTGAAACGCTGAAGTCGAGGGACGGAGCGTGCTGTCTGGATTTATGGCTTTATTATAAAGTTAACCTGAAACATATTTTAGGTAACTGTAAACTTAATATCGCTGCCACACATCACTCACTAATATCACCCACCGCACTCAAACAATAACTGAAACTAAAAAGAACAAAACCTTTTCAAAACATAAAAACAATAAAACTGGAAACTGAAATTTCTAAATAAAATAAAAATCATAAACTTCAGCGTCTTGTTTGTTGTTGGCATGAATGATGCGCCTCCGTACATCAGCCCACTGTCTGACCTTCATCACTTCAAAGTGTTTAAACAAGCTTCATGACGTCACGGCTCCACGCGGTGCCTCCCCCTGACGTCACGTGGAGTCTTTAGGAGACTCGCGCCGGTCAGTGGCTCAGAGGCGGTGTGCGCGCGCGTGTATCAGCATGAGGAGCGCGAGGACGCTGCGGCAGGTCCAGGTGGCCGTGACGGTGCAGCGGAGCCTTCATCACCAGCATCCTCCTGCGCGCTCCGCGGGGATCGTCGGAGCTCCTTTCTCCAAGGGACAGGTGAGAGCGCGAGGACAGGCTCCGCGTGCACTCGTGCGCGTGTAATCCTCCAGCTTCTCCTTCTCTGTCCGCTGCAGTCCCGAGGAGGCGTGGAGGACGGACCGGAGCGGATCCGAGCCGCGGGCCTGCAGAGGCGGCTGCAGCAGCTGGGTGAGCACGGCAGCGGGTCCGGTGACGTCACCGGGAGACTCCAACAGACGTTTATTTTTGTGCTTTCATACAGAATCACCTTCATGCAGCAGCAAATGTAATGACAGCAGGTAAAACTGACCGGAAGTTACCGTTTGAATGATGAACCGCCCTGTGAGCATCACCGTGGTTCCCACTGTGCCTCACAGCAACAAGGGCCCGAGTTCGTCTCCGCCGTGGAGTACGTCCACAGACATGCTGTGAGTGGGGACAGATCAGCTCCCACTCACAGCTGTGTCTCCGCCTCTCAGCCTGTGGTAGCTGAGATGGACTCCACAGGTGTTCTCACCTGTTCACACATCAGGAAGCTCCTCCTGCAGCTGTGACACATTTCTGTTAAAAATCATCCGAGCACCAGAGTGGCAGTTTGCCTCTGCAGCATCTGGACAGATGTTTCTGCTGTCAGGGCTTTTTCCCGGGATAAGAAAGGCTGACGTTAGGTGGAGCGCAGCCGGCCCAGTTAGTTATCCGTGTTGGTCGTCATTCCCAGTTAAGGAAACATTGTTTTTGTTGAATTAACAACTCAGAAACTTCCTGAGTTTCTCCGTTTAATGTTCATCCAGAGCCGAGTAATCAGTGATGAGAAAATCCACAAACGTTTGATTAATACATCAGCCTGAGCAGACCGCGGTCTGCACCAGGGACAGAAAACCCCACAAAGCCAGGTGGGGGCACAGAGCTGTGCGGCCCGGTATTTTAACCCCGTCCATCAAAGAGACAAAATGAAGCTTTAAAATGTTTCTGCTGATTATTGAGAGCAGTCACTGATTTCCTCCCACACAGAGGATCAGATCATCCTCCCGTGGCCAAAACATTAAACACGGTCCATAAATAAAGTACAACAGCTCAAAAACTCAAAATGACACAAGATCCCGAACAAACAGAGACGATAAAAATAAAATAAAGAAGCACAGATAGTCAAAATAAAATAGAATAAAAGTAGAAAATAAATCTTGTATCTTGTCTTTATGATGGGTTTAATCAACTACAAAGTTTACAGTTAGATTCCAACAGCTGTGCAGCTCAGTAACAGCGACAGTGTCTGATTTTTAATATTCAGAAACCATCGAATCGTCAAACAAACTGGAGGCGGAGCACGCCGGCATTTCCACTTTCAACAATTCATCTGAATGAATCTGTGATGTCGGTAAAACATTAACCTTCAGCACAGTTTGAATCCAGAAAAGGTGTTCAGAGCTGACCTTCAAATTCAGACTTCAAATAAAGTGTTTAAAGTCTGATTCACATAACGCTCCGTTTAAAAACCTCCGTAAAAATCAGAGTTTGGTGGTTTTTCCTTCAGCTGATTGTGAGTACGCAGGTAACACAGTTTCACTGACACAGTGAGTTCAGGAAGTGTAACGTCCTCAGAGGAGGTCACTGTGCACACGCTCAGTTTCATTACTGGAACAGCGCTGACCTTTATCCACGAACAGCAAACAGTAAGTGTTTACAGGTCCACATGGGTCAGTGAACGCCTCATTACACCGCTGCCTTCTTCCCTGAACGTCTCGCTGTTAATGTTCACACAGAGAGCATGCTGGGAAACGCCTCAGCTGGTAATGTTGGACAGTCAGTACGAGGAAACCTGCAATGATTGTGTGTGTGTGTGTGTGTGCGCGCGCGCAGGCTGTGCAGTGAAGGATTATGGGAACCTGACGTTCGAGGACATGTCCCGGGACGAGCCCATGGGCTTGCTGAAGAGCGTGAGGGCGGTGGGTGCCGCCAACCAGAAGCTGTCACAGGCGGTGCGAGCGGCGAAGGAGGATGGGCACACGGCGGTGGTGCTGGGCGGAGACCACAGGTCAGTCCACACAGGAACAGGAAGTCAGGACCTAGGTTCCAGGTGTCGGCTCTCCATCGACTCGCTTCCCGTTTGTGTTTTCCGTCCTCAGCCTGGCGATCGGTTCCATCCACGGGCACTCTGTGGCGGTTGGGGAGCTGAGCGTCGTGTGGGTGGATGCTCACGCCGACATCAACACGCCGCTGACCACGTACACGGGGAACATCCACGGGCAGCCGGTGTCCTACCTGCTCCACGAGTTGCGCTCAAAGGTGATCTCAGCGACAGAGATCAGCATCACGCCGTCACACAGAATCACTAACCCCTCCCCTTCCTCACCAGGTTCCCGTCTTACCGAACTTCTCCTGGCTGAAGCCGTGTGTGTCCGCCGCCGATGTGGTCTTCATCGGGCTGAGAGACGTGGATCCAGCAGAGCAGTGAGTGCACCTGAGTCCATGCAGAGACTCACCTATTTCTGACGCCCCTCTGACCAATCAGCTCGTCCCGAAGCATTTTGGAGATGATTGAAATGAAATCTTAATAAAAAATTTAAAGAAACAAAAAGCTCTGAAAGGTCAGCGACCTCGCTCTGGTCTGAGGGTCACCAGAAGTTCATTACCTGCGGGTACCTGAGTGTACCTGCCGGCAGGCTCTAATCCTGAGGTTTTCTCCTCCTCAGCTACATCCTGAAGATGCTGGGGGTGAAGACCTTCTCCATGAGTGAGATGGATCAGCTCGGCGTGGCCCGCGTCATGGAGGAAACGTGTGATTACCTGTCTGCCAGGTGATGCCTGCATGAAGCCACCAAGGTGTGATAGTCTGAGCGAATGTTAAAGATGCTTTGTGTCCTTGAACAGAGGGAAGAAACCGATTCACCTCAGCTATGACATCGATGCCATCGACCCCTCTGTTGCCCCAGCAACCGGGACGCCTGTAGTTGGTGGACTCACCTACAGAGAGGGCGTCTACATCACAGAACACCTGTGTCAGACAGGTACGAGTCAGAAACTCAGGGAAAAACAAACCCTGCTCTTCACAGTAGAAACGTGTTTAGTGTAAGCAGCCACATTAGCTGCTTACAGTAAACACAACAGCTCTCACTTGGTGTTGGCTCTCGCTGCGGTAGAGTGTCACTTCCTGTTCCTGTTCCAACGCACACTGGTTTTGCCAATCTGTGTATATTCACAGTATTCACTCACTCTGTCTTTGGGGATTAGGGCTGACAGCTGTCCCGTTTTAGTGTCTCTTATTTGGCAGTTAAAAAGTTGGCAACCCTATCCTGGTGTGAACGTGTGAACCGTGCTTCTGGGTTCAAACTACTCTGTGTTTATTAAGGCTGTTGTGTGTTTCACATGTTTTAACAGTTTGTATCGTGTTCTATTTAATCTGAACAAACCCCTAAAAAGTCAGTTATCGCTGTCGGCCTCTCTGGGTTTTTATTACCGCAGCACATTTTAAAGCTCAGTCTTTAAACCCTTACGATGTAACTCCAGCCCAGCAGCAGTATATGAATGACTAACCTCGTATTGTGGATGGATTATCTCAGTTGTTTTCCTGACTGAAGTTTGTTCCGTTTACAGCATCCTGCCATACGACTGTATTTGTCTCTAACCATCGGGAACCCTCACGTTAACTTTTATCGAGTGGAAAAAGTTAGCGTTCATCCTCCAGCTTCACTGTGTTTAAGCTAACATAGCTTTGTCGCTTCTCTCCTCCTGCTACCCCCCCAAAAACCCATCTCCATAGAGACTGTGTCAGCTCCCAAACAGACAAAAACAAACTAAAAACCAGCAACAAACAACTTAAACATAAACAATCACAAAGAAAGAACAATACAG